AAAGAGCGTACACCTGAGCACATGTTGCACATGTCTGGTGCAGAGGTGTGGCCTGCGTCGTACAAGAAATATCACGCGTTTCCGTCGTCTCCTGTCCGCATATCATAGCTAGCCATACGTACATGTAGGTGTAAACATGCAGTTAATACATACTCTTGTACCCATAACACATATGGTCGAACATGCACATTCTGACAGGTCCGCCCCGTTCAAAAGTTTCCAGGAAGGATAGGGTGACCCTTACCAGTGTTGTGAAAGCGCAGTATCACAGTTTCGTCTGAGCCGAAGTTACGGTTATCATTTCAGAGGCTATGATATTTTTTGTAGACATGACACGATGTGTCAGACTTACTGCTTTGACCCCTGACCGCAGCAAACCGCAGCGCCTGCATACGCCAGCCCCCTAACTAGTGTGAAGCAGCACGCCCACTGGAATTAATACTCTCCTGGCCCCAGGCTTTAACTACGTATGGTGACGAGAAAAAGACACCGGGAAATGACAGGCCACATATTACAGGACCAGGCCAGGTAGTTACCACACGGCCGCTGCAATCACTTTGAAGTCGGCAGTACCACTGCAACCATGGCGGAAACTTTTTAAGGGCAAAATACCTGACACGCATGATGGCAAAGTTTAGCATTTATTATGCTCAACTCGCTGTAATACTATAATGCTGCTCTTTCAGGGCAGGTAAGTTGTTATTCAAAGAATTCGGGTCATAAATATTCCTTAGACAAAGAAGTATTTACTTAATTTGGCCCTAATAAGCTAGTCCATGTTGACGTAAGTCAAGCCGGGTACTCAGGTGAGGGTATCCCGCAGTCGGCGGGATGTCCCTGTGTGTGTGTTGCGGTGTGTACTGGCCTCCGACCGCCACCCCCAGTCTGGTGAGAAACTTCTGCATGCATTCTGTTTAGATTGACTGTTGTTTGGACAAAAGCCTCCGCTTGATTATAAGATTGCCAGGTAGCCCGACTTGCCTAACGACGGTGACAACGCGGTGCCAAAAGCCCGACCTCTCCGCTCGCACCGACGTGTTAATGCGAGGACGGCGACTAGACTCTCTCAGCAAAACTCCCAGCCGAACTCAAAGTTTTCTCATTTAACTTTGCCGGGGTCTTAGCTTGGCCGTGCCGATTGCACGCACCCCTAGGACACAATTTGTATGAAAATGGGGCGGCTGCCAAACACAATAAGGTGCAGGTCAGACGAGCGCCGGCCTTTCACTGAATATAAGAGACTAGATAAACTATGGGGTCAACAGTAATCAATAGAGGGGTCCCGTTTGGATCAAAGTTAGTGACCCGCTCCCTTGTAAAATGATATATTGACTCGAGTAGGTTGAGTCTATGAAACGTCATTCAATTGCAATAACTTATGCAAATATTAACCCAATTGTTGCATGTATTTACCCTAATAGTACCAAAACAAGTGTGGCTTGCATTCAGTGGCACACGGGGGCCGGTGGTGACAAGACCTGGGCGCGCTGTTCGCCAGCCTGACCGGAACTCGCCAGAACAACCATGCGATGCTTGCCTTTGTTACGGCTCGTGCCTCTGTAAGGACAAGTTTGTATTCCTCCTTTGGATTTGTACATGTTTTGTGTGGCGTAAAGAGAACGCCCACTTTGTTCGTCCTGCTATTTAGTACAGGCTACAGACCTACTTTGGTCGGGAAACTGGCTTCTGTTGGTGTTTGATGATTTGTTCCTTCGTGTTTTTTCAGAATGTTACAAGCGCTGCTGTGGATTGCTGACTTGCAGGTAGGCGTGCTATGGATCAAAACATTTTATCTCTTGATCTTGTCAAAACTTCGTGCCGACATTTTTGTGTTCAAACCGTTTTATTTCTTACCGCACCTTCTTGCCAATTTCGACAAATTTGTTGCACAAAATCTGAACCAGAATTGTTCTGTTTATTTTTTTGGTCAGGTGTCGTCAGTTGCCTCCCCACTGCACGACTTCGGGAGACATGTGGAAGAAGAGATGGAGGATAGTGACAACACCAGCCGCCGATACATCCGCAACTACCAGCTATACTCCAGAAGTAGCCGTAAGCACCTGCAGATATTCGGCAAGAGGGTCGACGCGCTAGGGGAGGACGGCTCAGAAAACGGTAAGAACCAGCTTTGATCTTCTCTTTCTTTTCTCGCGAAAACAGTCATGCTGGTCCCAAAATCCCCGCTGCTCTGTTTCTGAGTTTTAGCGTAAGCCAGGGCAAGATTGACACCCTCGCCTCCCGGAGCCCAAACCTTTTCCCAAATTGATTCCCCCGGTCGCAGCGCCCATTCATCAGCCCGTATTGCCGTTCCCAGCCGCCGAGAACACTTAAGAACTGCTTTCAACTAGACTGGATAACTTTTCACTGTTATGGTTGTTGTGCTTTGCTAGTTGCATGATTCCGTATATCGATAACATTTCTGAGGCTCGTATTTCCCTCCCTAAATGCAGGCCCTTCATCGCACCTGCATGGTTGGATACTTCTTTGGCCCACAAATGGCTACTTTGTTTCTGGACTTGTTTTTCGCTACTGTGTCTTAGACAAGCCTGTTTGCGGAACGAAAAGAAATCTTTCTTGATGTGGGGACATTGTTCCTCCCCGGGCCAGTAAAACAACAAGGGATTTGCAAGTCTGATACCATGCGAAGCAATAGTTTAGGAGAAAGTCAGCCTTAGCGAGATCATTTCACAGATAAGGTGCACACAAGGACGGGTGTTGTCTGCTATCATCTTAAGGCATTTTACACATTACGGGGCTAAGCTTTAAGATTTAGATTATATGTTTGTCAAAGGAAAACTAATTGGGACACCACGATATATTCAAAAGATTCAAAATACTGCATAACGGGCCAGCAGTAGTTCATTCCGAATATGACACAGGTTAGGAGTTGAAATGAAGTACACCTGTAGACAAAACACCAACACAACCAACACTAACTAATACTGTACAATTTACCCCCCAGCTGAAGTTATTGTCGAGACGGACACGTTTGGAAGTCGCGTGAGAATCAAGGGTGCATCATCGGGATTTTATCTATGCATGAACGCCCGAGGAAAACTGATAGGAAAGGTACGTGCCCACCTGATTATATTACTGCATGTCGCAAACACATATTCTGTGTGACAAAGGCTTCTGTGTGCGAATGACTAGATGTTTTCTGATTATGTGTGGTTCTACACGAGTTAAACGGTGTCTGTCTATATTTAGCAAGATGACGTGATGATCTGTAACTGTCAGAAAATGTCCTTCCTCGGTCCACGGAGAAAAATGCCGCCAATATTGAAGACAGGACGGACATGAGCGCGCGATGTGTGGCTTTATATGTCCGCCTCTGCTTTGTTCGCTGCCAATTATGGTGATTTGTTCTGAGGAAAGCTATGATTATAGTCGGAGTAGTCAGCCTGTTGTGAGTGCAGGTGGAGGCACCAGTAGATGTTCAGAGGACCGGAACGGGCATACCTCCCCCTTTACCTTCCCCAAACGGCTTCTGTTTGAAACACTTCAAAAAGCGTTTCAGCGCTCTTGAGTCGTGTTTACTGTGCCAACAGAGCCGATGGTCCAAACCGGTATCATCGTTTGACAAGCGTTTATCCCATATCTGCGAGACAGAAGAACCGATCTCGTGTTGACCCCATACAGTAAGGAACTGTAGTGTCTATCAAAGCCCGACTGGTGGAGACTTGAAGTATGCTCGCCCCCGGCGATGTACCTACAGTTTCTTGTAACACCACAACAAAACGCTGCCCCTCCGCAGACGTGCTTTAGCCGATCCGATGGCCTCACAGATAACGAACAACATGTCCGTCCTGACGCATAAGAAAAGATCTCGGCTGGACGCGGAATTCTTAATTAGAGAATTACACAAGAGCCACTGCGAACACCCACCGCTGAAGGACCGATTGGGCATTATGTACGAGTCATTAAACCGCTTCAACAGATGTACCTATAAAAGTGCAATTACCTTTAACTATAGCGATTAAGGCAAGTCTATTGATCACCCAAAGGTGCCTTGGGAAAAAAGCGAAATAAGGACGGACGGTGACTCAGATCTGATTCTAAAACGTCCTTTATCTATTGGTGTCCTATTTTCCAAGCGACTACCCCTGTCACACAGGCATTGGTGAAGCAACGAAGTGCAAGCAAAGCAGATATGCGAGCGGTTTCTGCTGATACAAATGAAATTAACGTAGTTGTTTATGCATGCTAGTCGTTACTGTGTTTGTATCTATGTTTTATACAATGACTGACTTTTTGTTATCATTTTTCGCCCCACAGAGACGAGGGAAGTCGCGAACGTGCTTGTGGAAAGAACTTATTGACGAGAATAAATGGACGGCTTTTGAGTCCGTGGAATTCCCCGGATGGAATGTTGCATTTAACCGCAGAGGAAGACCGAGAAAGGCGCCGATGATAAAGCGGGGAAAGGAAACTCAATTTATGAAAAGGCTTCTGCCGAGAGACAAAGTAAAACTGACCAACAAACCCGAGTTCGACTTTTCTCACTTGACGACACAAATGCACCACAGGAGAAGACACTCGCAGCACACGACTTTCTACCAGTAACGCTCGGGACCTTGCAGCACGTGGGTAGACTATTTTTTTACGAAGTCTAGAAGAGTTTGACTATATTTTTGTACTATGCCGAGATGTAGACACAAACATCACAGCGTGACAATTGCTTCTGTGTATTGCCAGCTGGTTGGACAAAAAAACAGTATTTGCCATTCAACAGGTTGCTAAGAAAACAGAGGTACGGCCAATATCAACTAACTCAAGAGGGAACAAACCCCAGCGACCTCACACAAGCAGTTTCCCCCTAAGCTATGTATCATGTTAATGTGGGGACTAATGTAAGTCCAACCTAACTGTTAGATCCCACAGTTACAACCCATTATCCTCATGTTCTCTGACAGCTTTAAAATATTGGCACAATCTCCAAATGGTTTTACCCGCTAAAACGTGACTACAAGAAGATTATCTCCCCCTAATCTCCAATACACCCATTGCCAATAAACAGACAGAAATACAGAAAAGCTTTGTCCTGTCTCCCAAAAGATGGGAAAACTGTATGCATGCATGCAACTGGGTGGTCTGATACTATGAATGCCCCTTAAATGCACCCTAAGGGTCTTGGGCTGGAAATTTTGATAAATTACCCCAGATGTGCCAGTAGGCATCCTGACAGGGCCAGGTAGAGTCTCGTTGAACCATAGCGATGTTTTTACTTCGAATCTTCATTCACCTGTTCACTGAGCACGTTTTGTAAACTTGAAAAAACACAATGGACGATTTAATGCTACCTTTTTATGCAAAATACCTATTCTGTCATCATTGGCTGTCAAATATGAAGACATCATTGGCATTGAGAATATTGATTACAAACAGAAATACAGTTATACAAAGGGAGGGGGTATAATGCGAGGGTTTGTTGATTTGGCCGTATCACTGTTTATTGTACTAGAGATAATACATCGATCACATGTGTGCACAGGACTCTCTGCTAGTGTGTACAAGCACAAACGTTGTCGAGTCAGAAGACAGGTAGTTCTGTTGACTTCTCCTGTAGCAATAGCCCCCAGCGAAGACGATCTATTTGCCTCTTTAAGAATTAATTTATAATTATGTCAAAATATATTTATTTTACATATCTGTATCAAAATACAGTGAAAATGTGTATATATATGTCATATCATGTGTATTTGACACTTATCGAGAATTTGAGATGTTAAATATCGTGTATGGTAATGCATAGTTCGTTTAAGCGTTTTTCCTACCTTGTTTTTAAATACAAAGAATTGTGTTCGTGAACATTTGGACATGGTTTGAGTTTTGTATGTGTGTGATAGATAGATAGATATATTGTCGTGTTAAAACAGACAACGTGAGCAAAACAGGGTATGTCTGGGTATGGGAAACATGTCACCTCTGTGCGGATGATCCCGGGTCAGTCGCATACTTAATCTCGCTAACTATGTCGGAATGTATCGCACAGGTCCCGACGACTACCCTTCTTTCCGCTTTCCCACGAAACCACACCATAAACATGTTCTCCCAGCAGTTCTACCCAGCGTTTCCCAACCATTACAGAACTAGCAATAATCCGCCAAGAATCTGCTCATGTTTTCGCCCAAACTGTACACGATGGCACTGTAAGAAAAAAAACAACAACAAAAGGATTCATCTATTATCTACGACCCATCTCAATTTATGTATCTCCTCTTTTCTCTTATTGTGAAATGGACTGATTTACCTGTGCAAAAACACAGTGTTATTCGGCTTAGCGAAGTACGTTTTGAATGGGAGGAGGGGACCTGCTTGTAACCCAACGCACAGAACAATAAATGATATGTGCTTAAAATAAATAGGAGTAGATACAAACCGGTACACAAAGGAATCAATACAAAATGACTATTTACATGTCAGACAGAGTGTACTGTTTCTATGCTTGAATGGACCTGGAGTGTTTGGTGTCCACTGTCCTACAAGTCGACTTTTCTTACTGTAAAATAGCAAGGGCATCTTTTTGTTTAGCAAAGCCAAAATATTTGTTTGCCATAAACAAAAAGACCACAAACAAAAGGCGTGCCACATGCTGCTCTGACTCTTAATTGACCTCAACAAAGTAGAGTCGTCTAGCTTTGTCATGTGGCTGTGTACCTGCACAGTGACTAATATTTGGAACTGAACTATTTGTGGAGTCTATTCTCTGTGACCGATCTATTTGTTAAAAGTCGCGGTGCTTCAGAAAAGGCTACATCCTGTACCCTGTAAAGTATTCTGTACAGGAAAGTAGTATTCTTTCTATGTTGAGGACATATCTAAAATTTGAAGGTACATTAGAGTAACGTTAAGAATGTTTGAACAGTTAAACCTATGGTTCAGCGAAATTATAGTTTTTGAATAAGGCTAGAAAAACAAGATTTACTGCTTCAAAGCTAGGGTGCAGAAAATAAGAAATATTTTAGATTCAACAGGTACAGATTGATAAAATACTTAGATTATACGTAAAATACAGTTCAATAGGTACAATACTGTTGCAGAATTTCTGCTGTAAAAGTATCTCCATGAGTGGTAACTTGCTCTACGGGGTTTAAAATATGTACATAGAAAAATGTCTTGACCAGATCGAGTGTAGATGAAGCATTGCCTTGAGGCCACGGTAACAACGGCCTTCCCACTTCTCAGGAAATGTTCAGTTTACATTGGACGGCCTTGTACCTGGTCATATGCTAGTAACCATGTCCTGAGGGCGTTACAACGTACTCATTAAAAAGGGCCGTCTGAACTGGTTTCCACCGGGATACGCCGACTCACCTAGACGAGTAGCTAGTTTTCTTTGTCATGATATGATTTGTTAATCCCTCCCAACAAAAAGCCGACATCCTGGATATTTCCTTGATACACATCGCTTGAAATCCTTCACAATGTATGCCCTTAGTGAACACATTGATCACCTAATCATAAATGCCCTAGTGAAGAAAGACAGGACGTTTAACTTTTATCATTCAACTGACGAGGTCAGCTCGCGAGTTTGATACCTGTGCTGGGGATCCAGCTGGATGTTACGCAACCTGTTCGAGTCTTAGTTCCTCCGTCAGGTGGTTTCTGTCAAACGATTTGATCTAAAGAAAGAAAGGGGGAGACCGAGCCTTGCAACAGTATACGTCCGACGTGGAGGTACGGTCTGGCTTCAGTTTACCTTTTCCATGGGTCAACTCCAACTAAACAGCGCGAGGCGGCTGGGCCAGTGTACACTCCCCCGGAGTAATTCAGGCGAGCAGGTGTGCTATGGTATTATTAGGTGAACAATCTTTGCTGTGAGCTGTGCATTGTCGGGTTGAATGGCGCGGCGGCTTTCGGAACAAGAGGTCAGTGTCAGGGCGTGACTACAAGGAGCCGTCCCTGTGATCACCGGTGCGCCCGATAAGTCTTTGATCATTTCTAATGTCAGGGGGAATCAATGGGAAATATCGCGTGTCTGGTGACATCACATCCTGTACGCCGGCCTCGTGTCCACACCGCGGCAGACGGCCCGGCACGGGAAGACTTTGAAGGTTTCACGGCAGGAATCTCAAGAATTGTAACAGATAGGCAACGACATACTCGAGGGGTGGGGCCGAAGTCGAAGAACAGGATCAAAGAGCTAAAAGCGTTAATAAAAGTTGGTGGAAATCCTCGGTCTTTCTCGGCAACGTCGCCTTGATGTTCACGAGACAAAAACCACCTCAATGGACCTTTTGTTGGCACAACTTACACCGCGAACAAGCCCAATAAATGCCGGGGCGGTCGTGCGGTAAAACGGATACCTTTATGGTCGTGGCTTGTAACACAAGTCACTGAAAAAACTACAATAAACACACTATCAGTAAACAACACGTAACGGTCGGCTGGAAGGTTTAATGGGTAGATCTGTTCAGAGCGTTGATGGCGGGACTCACGATTCAGTAACACAACTTTGCCACAGGTTCTGGCAAGGAAGACCTACTGACCACCGTCACTTTAAGCTCCTTTCCAGGTCGTGATTTAGAGCAACCCGACTGTAAGATTTGGACGAACTGTCCACCTGGACTGAGGAGAACAAAATGAAGCTTAATCCCACTAAGTGCAAAGCTATGCACATCTCCTTTGCCCGCAACCCCCCACCACCGCCCCCTCTATCCATTAACGGACACGTGCTTGAGGTGGTGCCCATTGCCAAGTGCTTGGGAGTCACATTTCAAGCCAACCTGGGATGGGACAGTCAAGTCAGAGAAATGACACGTAAGGGGAACCAGCGCTTGTACTTGTTGTGCCGACTACGTCAGTTTGATCTACCGGTGGAGGATCTGCTAACGGTCTACAAGTCGTTTGTTCGCCCGGTGGTTGAGTATGCCGCCCCGGTATGGCATGGGGGGTTAACACGTGACCAACGGAAAAAAATAGAGAACATACAGAGGCGAGCGGCAAAGATAATAGCTGGGAAGAAACTACCACGGGTATTCGTCAGCCTGTGACGTGCTTCACTTACAAACACTTGATGACAGACGTTCCACTCTCTGTCTGAAGTTTGCTAAGAGACTGCTCAACTCAGAAGAGTACCGTGGTTGGCTGCCCGAACTCAGAGGTGACGTCAGCGGTAGGGTAACAAGACAAAGAAACCAACTAGACCGATTGCCAGTACACACAGAGCGGTACAGAAACAGTCCAATCCCATTCTTAACCAGTCTGCTAAATAACAGCATGTAGAAGAAGTTTTATTACTATAGATGATGTTTTTTATTATTATAGATGATGTTTTTAACTGAATGACCTACGATCGTAACCTACGTATTGTAAATATTTTAAAATAATTTGCTGTTTTTAACTGTTTTAATACTTGCTTGTAATATTGAAGTCAATCGTATTTAAACACTTATGTAATGCGGCAGATCAATTCAGGGCCCTACGGGGACCTGCTACTCTGTATCGTACGGTCAGAATGAAATAAACCACTATTATTATTATTATTATTATTAAGTGAATTAACATGCATCAGAAACACCACCGGTGCTTACATTCTCGTGCTATCGGGTTGTCTGTTTGACTGCGTATGTAAGAGGGATCTTATGGTGGCCTTACACACATGGTTACCTCCCCATAACGTTACCTTGTGAAGGAGTGAGTGACAAGTCGCGATGCAGCCTTGAATTTTAGCTCACATCTCTTATACCACGCGGGCATTTCAATGCAGAAGAATTTAGTTTATTGTGATTCAGTGATGTTAGTGTGTAAACCAGTGTTCCGCGCAGGTTCTGATGCCCAAATGATCAGCACACTTGAGTCTGTGTACGGGTAAATGTTGTCTGTTCGTCACGTGAGTAGGAAAGACCCAGGCGTGCCGTTAGAATTTAACGCCAGGAAAGTTCACCAACTGAACGGCCACCTCCAAGCAGATCTTTCGGTGAGATCTTGGCCAATTTGATACTGCAAAGACAGTATCAAATTGGCTAAGCAATATCCATCTGCTAGACAGTTACCATTTGCCATCTAAGGCTGGCGTATTTAAAAAAAACAGATACCAGTACAAGAGAGCCGGATAAAATTTGCCTAAAGACATGTCAAAAAAAAGTCGGAATCTAGCCATGGAAACTCTAGATTTGGGCCTATATTGAGGGCTATAATAGAGATTCTTTATTGACTCAACAAAATATGTGTTGACAGCCACTCCACGGAGTAGGGCGAGTCCAACAAAATATAATATAGACCCGAATCAAGAGTCTCCACGGCCAGTCGGGGACTAAACCTCTGCTTTGAGGAAGACTCAGGCGTGCCGTTAGAATTTAATGCCAGGAAAGTTCACCAACGTAAAAAAAATATACCAGCACAAAAAGAGAGCCTGATAAATACGCATAAAACACGTCAAAAAATAAGTCGGAGCCTTTAAACCTCTGCTTGGCTTGGAGAAAGACCCATGCAGGCGTGCCGTTAGAATTTAACGCCAGGTAGGTTCATCAGCTGAGCGGTCGGTGCCAACATGCTCACCTTGGGGGTGAATGAAGTCATGGTGAGGTGGAAAGCAGGTGGAGCTGTCACTCCCCCGGCCGTGATCAAAGGCGCAGGTGTGGGGGTTAGCGGCAAGAATAACAAATATTATATGAGAGTAGTCAGAGATAAGAATCAGCTGCATTCAATGGGAAATTCGAGTACGTGTGCAATGGAGGCGCAACAATGGAACAAGTAGTCTTGTCAAGGATTGATGGATACTGAGACAGGATAAACAACCTCCTCTCCTTTCGGACCTTTAAGGCACAATCGGGGCTTATGATACCTCGGAGAAAAACTTCGCCTCTTAAGATGGTCAACTAATTCCACTCACAAAGACGATTTGGTCACTCGAAAGGTTAAGATAACTTACACTCCTCTAAACAGGGCAGGCTGGGGCACAAAAGAATGTCATTTGGAACAATTCCGAGGCGGGGAAACCCGATAGTGAGAGGTTGATAGGAGGTGGCGCAAACAACACCGACTACCCAGACAAGCCTCGGTCAATGAGGCGAGGGAAAAGCAAGAAGCTATGAAAATGAACTCTGATATTATCAAACACCTGTTGGATTGACAGATAGAACATGGAAGTAACCACTTCTGCGTGTGCAGCCGAGGCTTCAGATGTGAATAGGAATTAATCGATGCAAAACAACGAAATAATATACCTATAGTTTGAACTATGAAAGGTGTACTTCAACCTATTCACAAGAGAGTCATTCATAAGGCACCGTACAATAGACTTCCAAAAGTAAACATTCTCAATGACTGTCGTGTGCCGATCGTGTGCCATGAAAGCTAGATAAACATGAACAAGTAATAGCGCCATGTGGAGGAACTTTGAAAGACTGAATTTGGCCTTCAATAGCTTGAATAGACCGTGGTGTCACCGGTATACTGTTGTGCCGCGCCACTTGTCAAACTGACGGCTTTGATAAAACAATGTTGTAGGCGAAAACAAATAACTGATATGAATAGGGAAGAAATTCCTGGTGACGACAGAAACCATTACTCTCTGTCGAAGCGAGCGCCCAGACCAAGACCAATTCTTGCCCAAAATTCTTCCCCCTCGTCAGATATTATCTGTCTTGCCTTGACAGCCATTCTTCACAGGTTGTTGCCCCGCACACTGCATGTGGCAATACCAAGAGCGCTTGCTGGCCACAACAACAACAACAAAAAATATAATCTCGAATGGAACGCGACGTGACATAACCAGCACAGAGAGGTGTAAACAGGTTGGAACTGGTTGAATAATCGCCTAATCCGCACGTATATGGCATTCAAAGTCAAGGTCGGTTAACGTTCCTACACAGGACTTTCTACAAGTGGCGTTATGTTGTACCCAATGAAGGTACAGAATAATAGCCTCTTTCAGGCTTCGGCTTTGGAAAGAGTAGAAATGAATTGGCCAAATAGACAGATAACATGCCAAGAGAGTTGGAGTACAGCATACTCTACCAGGCTTCGGAAAGCGACTGGAAAGAGTAGAAATTGGTTAAATAGATAGATAACATGTCAAGAGAGTTTGTCCGCTAATTAAGGAGTACAGTTCGCTACTGTGTCCTTTAGAGGACCAATTCTCTCGTAGAGGCCAGTATGCTGTACTCCATTTCTCTTTGCATGTTATCTGACTATTTGGCAAATTTCTACTCTCTTTCCAGTCGTTTTGTAAGCCCGGCGAGAAGCTACAGCATTCACCGACTTGACGAGGCATTCATGTCACTTACACATTTGAAGGAAGACAGTATATTCTGAAAAGCCATCCCAATGTACATGTACAACGATAACACCTGAATAGACCATTGTACGCATCGACATGTCTGTGGGTGTCCTGAGTGATTAACGAAGTCTCTCTGAGTTCCCTTCCGTTCCCGTTCAATGCGAAGGTATGTGAGGGCTTCTTTGATGGATTTTGGCGGGACCGTTATGGGTCCTTTACGAGCCCATTCACCAGGTAACGCTACTACCTGCTTAGTCTGGTACGCTTCCTACTTTAGGACGGGCACTGGGAGAGGAGAGGCTGTCCGACTTCCGTATTTGACAGGATATAAAAGTGCAATGGAGAAGTCACCTGAAATTGAGATTTATAGCTTCCGTTTGTGATCTTATTCTCATTCGAGGGATGGAGCACTAAAGGTGCGGCGCTACTTCCGTTTTTTTAATGACAAACGTGGATCGGATCCGGAGTTCTGGGGACGAGGGTAACTCTCGTACACAATTCCCTCTACATCTTTTCTACTTGTCATTACAGTATGACATCTGCGTTTCCAAAGGGAAAGAGTTAAACTTTATACACGGGAATTCTTATAAATGTGACCATAAAACAATCTATATGCTGGTCGTCTTCAGGTTTATCAGTAATAAAATTGAAGACAACCGTGACAAATTAGATGGAAAGATCGTAACGTTCATTTGACTTGCCACTCTTTCTGACAGCATATAGCCTGGGTGCCGTCCGTTTGTAACGGGGTCGCTTGTACTTTCTAACCCGAGAACTTTTCCGGATACAAAATGGATAGCTACCAGGCTATTCAGCATATACTTAGGCAAGCAAAAAGTAGGTGGGGAGTAGATATTTCCATCTACAATGGCGCAGATACATTGTCGTCAGACTCGTCACGTGGAACCAAATACTTAGCCTCTACCAGGCTTGAGGAGCGGCGAACTGTTCTCTCAACGGCATGCTTATGTCTCTATTTTGGCCGGTTTCTACTATTTCCAGCCGCCTCCTCAAGCCTGGTAGAGGCTACCAAATACTATGATGACAGATAGGGGTCCATCCTGCAGAGACCTCTACCGTTAGCAAGGAGCATTGCAGGCTATTTGTTTGTCGAGACGCTGATAACATCTAAAACACAAGTAATAAGAATTCAATAGCCAAGACGTAGGCAAGAGTTGTCATGCTTATGCTATATATGTATATGCTAGTAATTTCTTAGGCGAAATCATTTTTTCGGATTCATCAGACAGTAAATGACTTGTGATCCCTGTTTGCGAAAATGAGCCTGTTCCGGATCGACCGCTGACTTTTCAGATTCCTCATTGACAAAATTAAAAGTCAACAGGCGTTCAGAAATATTTGTGCTCAAGCTCAAAGTTTACCGCCACTGTATTAAAGCGAAAGTTGCCAACACAGCACGGTCCGTTTTAGGCAGTGGTAGGGTAATTAAGTGCCCACCAAATCAGAAGTGTGTGTTGGAGTGAAGAGTTCAAAACGCCGAAACAAATTCCAGGTAAGTGATCCAATTTCTTACTAAGAATCCTGACCCATGACTAAAGAGGTTTGCATGCATGATCAGATTCCAGCTGACTGACAGACACTGAGGTACCTGCCCAGGACATACTACTGTACAGATAAGGCCACACCAATTTAATTGGTTGGTCCTCGGATTCGCCTCTTCATTTTTTTTTATTTGCAAAAAAAAAAAAATAAATCTGGTTCTGAATCAACTCAAAAATGCTTATATTTTGCCCCCAACCGTTGAGGAAAGTCCTTTTTTTCCTAGTAGTTACAGTTTTTTCTTCATTTCCATCTATCAATGCAGTGGTTTGATTAAAAGTTCAAAATTCGTTGTTTAAATATTAACCCAGCCTTTTGTGTTGGCTCCATGGCTCCTATCGTTGCATTTGGGACTATAATAGGACGCCTAGACCTGTTTTTTTTTTCGCCATGTCGCTAGCTTCATATTTTTCTGAAAAATCCGAGAACCAACAAATTGAATTGGCGTGGCCTAAAAATTAAAAAAAAAACAAGAAAGAAGATATTGAATTCCTTGCATTTTGGCAAAGACCTACACAACGTGATTTTCAGTTTTCTGTTCGCTATTAAACAAACAAAAACACACCGAGGAAAACAGTTTACTCTCCAAGCAGAGGTTGGTGGGGGAAGATCGTCACCGTTTTATATATGCTTCGTTTTTTTGTCGCCCCCCCCCCAAAAAAACGAGCCATATATAAAACGGTGACGATCTTCCCCCACCAACCTCTGCTTGGAGAGTAGAGGAAAACCTCTTCCCGCATCAACGCCTTTCCTAGGCCAGAAATCAAAGTGTCTCCACCCGTGTAAGTATATATGTCATCGTTTTGTTTCCTAAGTAAACATCAACATGGTTTGCATTTCTTGAGGTGCGTATAATACATACTTGTGTTCGTGGGGGGTAGCCTCCTCTGCATCTGGAACTATAGCTTATTCCTCATTGATCAGTGAGTCTGTTGAACGTAGGCATGAACACGACTTCACGTTCAATTTATCTGATATTGTAAACTTCGTAGAACGACACACATAGATCATGACATATAGACAGAAACACTACCAAACTTGAACCACTTTCCAAACACTATCCTATGTTTGCACCATCCATACGGTCAGCAACTTGAAGGATCTTGTCGGCATGAAGCGGGCGGTGCTTTACATTTGGCAACAAATGATATGCATTTGCCTATCAATAATTTGCATAGGCTTACTAAAAACGGAGATCGCTCGTTGAGGCAATAATAACATACGAAAACTAGAAATGTGTATAAATCGACCGAGGTATGAGAGTGGCACCTGTACACCAGATCTGTCAGGAGATGTTATCGGGACCCGGGAAACCCGCCAAACCTCGGGGGGTCCTCACAAGCCAGGTTTCTGAATTTTGGAGGGGAAACATGTTGATAAACAACAGGAAAGGGTTGGTTATTCGATGACTCGTGTGGGGTAAAATGGGTAACGTTAGTGGCTTTAGGTGTGTTTATTTTTTACACATTCCACCAATACGCATGCATGGCTGATTTGAATAGTCATCTGTCACTGATGAGTATTACACGGGACATTTCTTGGCCACCTTCGTAGATATGATTTATTATCTTTAATAGCTTTATTATACTGTAGTTGACACACCTAATCTGAATGGCCACCGAATGGCTAATTGCCACTCCTTGGTAATATGTTTTGGACATACAAACAGAACTTTCCTTCTGTAAACTGCACTTTTCATATTATCGCCAGATGTCGCTGTTATCATTGTAGGTGGGTGTGACATCATCAGAACAGGTCAGTGTGAACAAGGGTTTTATCAAGTATTTATGCCATATTTCTTTAACGTAACAAGTAAACCGAACGATAGTATTACCAAAGTCTTCCTAACTTTAGGGTCTATCAAATGACTTGCAGCTAGACGCACGCAACGTAACGTAGTCGGCGTTTTTTGTCGTCGGAAGGCTTTCAGGGGGGAGGGGGGCAGCTGTTTTTACTAAAAACACCACATCCTACCTCAACATTTGTAGGTAACGTTATGTGATTAATCTGTGAATGATACTGATAATGGTTGAAGTCGCATATAGGGAATATTACAAGATGTCAGGCCCATGTCTTAGGAGAGCTACATAAGTACGAACCCAAGAAAATATTCAATATTTTTAATACAGTGTCTCTTCATGGAGTAAAAGACCTCTATGTTCTCTTTAGAGTGGGTGAGCAATCAGAGTGGGTAAGGTAAGTTAATTTCTCCTGCCTAGATTTGAAGGTAGATTTAGAAAATATTGTTTCATGTCAGATATATTCCCTTTTTCCAGAATGACGGTGTTCAACCTGTACATATTTGACCGTAACGGGACCTGTCTTCACTACAGCGAGTGGAACAGGAAGAAACAACCTGGCATGTCCAGGGAAGAGGTGATGTTAGCTAGCCTCTACCAGGCTTCAGGAGTGGCTGGAGAGAGTAGAAATTGGCCAAGTAGACAGATAACATAACATGCCAGTTGGTCCGATGAAGGTGTAACGTTACATGTGGAGTTGCAAATTGTACTCCTTCAGCGTACCAACTCCCTGTTATTTGACGTCTATTTCAGTCTTTGGCCAAGTTTTGCTCTTTCCAGCCACTTCTGAGGCCTGGTAGAGACTACATGTAGATGTTACCAATATAAATCAGAACTGGTTTTGGAGACACCTCAGGGATGGAGCCTTTTGTGTTAGTACTATAATTGAGTTGAAAATATGTTGGAAATTCTTGTGTGGTGCATTCCCTGCAGAATTGTTTTGCATGGGATTTCACTAACTAATGCTTCATTTTTGTTTTCCAGGAATTCAAGTTAATGTATGGAATGCTGTTTTCCATAAAGTCCTTCATTAGCAGACTGTCACCCACAGACTAGTATCCTTCTTATGAAAATTCTTGAGTGTCATTGTATAGTCACAACATGTGAGAATTGGATATTTTGTCTCTCATTATCATTAAAAAGATAAGTTGTCAGGTACTACTAGTATGTGTGTAACTTTCTCTGCTAGCTAACTCAAATTGTGTTAATCCACATGCTAACAGTAAGGTCATTTATTTGTAGACTATGTTTGACTATTTTAAATTGACCCACCAGGTTGCCTTGCTAGAACTAATTTGCTTGTATTGGGACATAAATACATAATGTATAGAGTTGGCTAGTGGAGTTTGGGTGTTTCAGTGTGTTGTGCGCTGTTGGTGTTTTTCCTTGACCAGATTACAGTAAGGATGGTTTCCTGAATTACCAGACCAACAAGTACAAGCTCCACTTCTACGAGACCCCCAGCGGACTGAAGTTTGTGATGAACACAGACCTGGCAGCAGGGAACATGAGAGAAACACTACATCAGATCTACAGCAGTGTAAGTCCAGTATAGAAAGAACATATTCAAGGTTGACGATGAATTACATTACAAAGAGGCTTTGTACACTAAGATGTGTCCTCTCACTCACATGGGATATAAAGCCGAAGGTCTTATTTTTTTAGCCTATTTTAATTGAAGAGCCGCACCTTATGCACATTAAAGATCCCAGCACACTTATTTGAAAAGGGTAGGGTCCATCCTGGTTTGAGAGGTTCAAACTTTATACATATAATTCAAATAAACACACCAACTTTCAGACAGTTGTATTTGGACCATCGCACACGAGGGCATGTCCCTACTCTTTTTGTCCTCACCTCTAACCATGTGTCTGTTGTTGTGTTTCCCCATGCAGATCTATGTGGAGTATGTGGTGAAGAACCCCCTGTATGAACTGGGACAACCCATAGAGAGCGAGTTGTTCAAGGCTAAGCTGGACAACTTTGTCCGAGGACTGCCCATGTTTGCAACGAAGGCTTCATGATGACAGCAGACATCAACAATGTGACTGCTTACAATGTGGAGCAAGTTTGAACTGTAATTTCCAGCAGAAGAAATTTTATTGGACTTACCCAAATTTTTTACTGTATAACTACTAGAATGAGCAATCCATTGCTTCTGTGACATGATGCTATGCAGATGACACGTAACTCTGCGAGCAGTGGACCATTGGTTGCAGAAAGTCTGTGGCGCCCCCCCCGTGTTTATTGAAATCAACAATGTTAAAATCAGTGGCTGGATTTTAATCTCCAAGCAGATGTTTGGGTAGGAAATGGTAACGTTTTCTGATCTGCCGATGTTTTTTTTTCTGACAGTATTCTACTCTGAGATACATGTAGTGCCCGTGGAGGTAGAGTATCAGGAAAAAAAGGCAAATCAGAAAACATTACAACTTTCTACCAAGCATCTGCAGCTTGGAGGTTAGTTTTATTTATGCTGTCCCGATGTTGAACATTCCTACGGCAATTAGGCATACATAATCGTAACATGAGGTATATCTAAAGTGTTTTCTGTCAGTCTTTGTTCTTATTATTATATACATGTATGTAGACTTGAAGGAGAATGTCAGGTATACATGTACTTTTTTATGTGAATAAAGAAGTCTGCATAACAATAAAGTGAGGTTGACAATTTTCAGTATGTTGTATGTTGTGTTGATACCTGGGAAAGGGAAGTAGTGCAGTAGACAAAACACATATTTGCTGTGATTTTGTGGTTAGAGTTCACTGTGAAAACGTACGGCAAAAAAAATAAAGCCATTGCGAACATTCCAAAATTTACAGTATTTTTTAGATAAAACTTTTGGCCTCCTCGCATCTGCTTGGAAATTGGTGTCATCTCACACAACATCCGTGACGCCGAGGTAAACAACTACTGTATCTCCAGTTTACATCCGGATTACATATATACAAACTATGCTAGAGGTGACAATAATATTCTACAGAGAGCAAACTCATATTTTCGCAGCGTGCAGCCAATGTACAACTACAAGCTTCAACGAGAGACTTCCGAATCCCGATGTATCGTAAGCCGCCAGGGTTCGTGCGGACTCGGTCCAGAGTTCAACCCTTCCCGGACAATAATAGGGACAACATTTTCCTATCATGGGTTTTGACTCTTGCTGTTTTCGTCGTTGTCACCATTGTTTTAACTATCAGTCTGAGGCCGCTGTTTATTGAAGAATCGGCGGTGAAAAAGGAGCGCTTGAACGCAGAGGAAAAGACTAGGAAAACTGGTGAGTTTATGACCGTTTCTCCGAAGTTGTATAGTGTGGTTATTCACACACAAAGACTAATAACTGATAAAACCATTGTTGTGTGATATCGTCATCTACTTCAAACATTTAATATACATTATAAATAAATAAATAAATAAACATTACAGGTTTTCGCTCAGATGTTATGGGAATATGAAAGGTAGTCGGAAAATGAATTGTACCACAGAAATCATGAAATATAGCTGAGACAGCTATGTTGGTAAGTTAGCCAGATTCATAGTATAGTAAAACACTATATATTGCATTGTGAAGCAACTGTATATCTATATCTACCTGCAACTGTATGTCGTGAATCTATATTGTACACCGCAGGGTGTCAAGATACCGGAGCTATGGCGAAAGGGAAGGCGGGACAACCATGGCGGAAAAGTCAGAGCAAGCGACGTGGCAACCGTGGGAGTTTCGCCTGGTAACCGTGGGGGTGACGCCTGGTAACGGTAATCGCGGGGGTGACGCCTGGCAACCGTGCGGGTGACGCCTGGTCATATGACGATGGACTATAGTGAATCTTTTTTCAATGACGTACATATATGTACATCAAGACATATAGCGCTTATTATTAACGTTGTGTAATACTGGTGTAATATGCCGTTCGATGCTGTCTCAAAACTGTGTCTTTACTCCACACTCTCATCAAGACGAAAATGTTTCTCTGTACCAAACACGTACATCCACAAATAAATATACCCCTCTTCTTACTCTTGTCTGGACTGAAACTCATTTTGTAAAAACCCTCTCTCTGTGTGATTGAACTAAAACTCACAGGTACTTGTGTATTTACAGCATTCAACATTTCATGTACCCGAATTGTGCATCGAATCTGGCGGCAAACAATCCACCTTGACTCACGGCTAAGGATCCTCCAAGAAATTCCTGAAACTCAAAGTTATTGAAATAATTTATTCCTTATGATACATATAGCCTTATATATAGCGCTATAAACATATACTAGTAATATTTCTTTGGAATTGAATACATAAACAAACGTCAACGAGAACATAACCTCCTCGGCGAAGATGATAGTACTAGTCTATTACACGAAACGAAATATAGAAAACGGTGTAAACCATGGACGATCAGGTTGAGAATATCTCCAAGCGAACATCTCTTGTTTTCCCTCAGACATGTGTCTGTGTGTCTGAATAAACTGGCGCATCCGTCTGTTCAATGTTTTGCCATCAACATTCTGATATAGCGCATGTGAGCATGCAGCTACATATCCGTCTTTGCCACGTCCTGCATAGCATTAGCACACGGGACCGACATGACGTGGCCACTTTAGAACACCTGTTGACAGCCACATATACAGTTTGTAACTTTAGTGGTTTATAAGACATAGTCTTCCTTCTTATAACAGAGACCAAGGGCACTCTCGAACGCTCCGTACGCGTTAGGTCTTTGTTTTACTCGGACTCCTACCGTAGACGATACGGGAGTGTTGTTCAAGGCGAGAGAACCTGGTCCTCGACTCGCGTCTTATATGTACAGAACCAAGGGCCGTCCCGTTCCGCAGAAGCCTTCCATAAGGTCCCCGGCGATGATCTACCAGAGGAAAAGCTCGGACCTGCTGCCCCGCACCAGCCGGGCCAAGGTGAAGGAATACCCCGACCAGAAGTGCAGCGTGCTCCCGTGGCTGGTGTTCCTGGCCACGCTCCTGGTCATTGTCGTGGCCCTGATGATCAGCCTCAGGCCGTCTCTCATAGATGAACCGCGGACGAACCTCCATCGCGCCAAGGGCAAAGTCGGAGATGACGGTAAACCTTCCGTAAATTGTTTCTTTTTTTGGGCCCAAATTGATATCGATTGATAATAGTTCTAAAGGCTGTCCCAGTGTATATTATTTGTATGTAAGCAGCTCCCCTCCCCACATTCTTCGCTCGTTCAGGAGAAGGGTCATGTCCATATCCCTTAATGCAACAATAAATAAAAGCATTAAGGATCTGGGACTGTCTCATTGGAAAATATTAAGTTTTAAGAATTCAAGTCGTGCAAAAGGATTGGTGTTTTTTTCATTAGATTGTCTAGAAGAACAAGAAAAAGCAAAACGATTATTGGTAATTATTTTTCATGTTTAGAGTGAGTGAGTCATGTTTGTGTACATTTACATCATCTTTAACCCATCTGACTCTTGCAGCTGACTACGTATCGGTTGAGACAGAAGGGGGAGAAGAAGTTGTGGAAAACGACGAGCCAAAAGACGCCACCGCTCAGCAAACCATCCCACACACAGCCCGGCAAACCGTCCCAGCTCCCGGTACAGAGGACGACACGGCGACGGAGCAAACCGATGAGCAGCAAGAACCACCGAAGCAAGAACAGCCTCAGGAGAAGCAAGAACAAGAACAACAGCAAGAACAACAACAACAACAGCAAGAACAACAACAACAGCAAGAACAACAACAGCAGCAAGAACAACAACAACGAGAAGAACAAACTATCATGAAGGTTCATCACTTGAATAAACAACAACAAAAACAACAGGAGCACCTTCATTACGACCCAGTAAAGGACAATCTGCCAAGTGACGACGAAGGACCGAAGCGGGATAAGTACGTCAACCCTGAGGACCAGCCTGTGCTCTCCATGCAGGTGCCGCCGAAAGGCACAGAGCGTTTGGGAGGAATGATGAACTACCACCAAGTAATCCCTGACGCTCTGGACCAGTCTCCGACCAGCCTGCTACAGGTACGGCTCAGTCAAACACATCCGTTATTCGTTGTTTCAGAACGCATGAAAATTAAAGCTCACTAGTACTGAATTAAATTGAAGTCGCCATTTGACTACCAATATGCAATTCTCTGTTGAATTTACGCAGCAAGGAGAAGGCCACTGACTAGACAAGAAGCCCATTTCTAGTTTCAAACGGATAACATAGGCCCGAAACAGCATCTCTGATGTATTCTTCCCAAGTCAAAGATATCATGCTAGAGATAAGCTTAACTCCTCTTTAAAAACCAAGCTTTGTGAAGCGTTTTAAGGCATCTTAGCATGCTCATTTCAAAACTGAATTTAAAACACGCATAAAAGAAGTTAGACTTAATGACGATGACATACTGTATTTTTCTTGCTTTTAGGTCTGGTTTCGTGACACGAAAATTGAGGTCGGGAGTGAAGTAGACCCACAAGTGGTAAGTGTGTTTATATAATTATCATGCAGTTTACGGACAATGCACGTGCGGACACGTATTGCTCATGATATATGCAGTCACGTACAATCCGCTAATAAACCTTTCAATATTAACCTACGAGTTAGCAGTGATCTGAAAGTTGTTATGTTTGAAACGTTCTTAAGCATCCGGATCCAACATGTACACACCCCTTTTTCCCTTCATATCGATATTCCAGCCGATTCACAGTCCTAAAACACGTCGTTTGTTTTGGCAACGCCAAAGGGGGAGACCCTTTTTGACGGTGCCAGGTTGCACGAACTTCCAGTTCATTGCAGCGCTTGATCGATGTTGATTTGAAAAATGAAAAACACCAGATGCATTTTCCATTTGTACGTTCCTCAGCTGCAGGCAATGCCTAGACTGTGGTGGGAGACCACTGAAGGCCAACACTATACCTTAGTCATGACAGGTTAGTACATGTATGTGCTGAACATTACAGATCATCAAATAAAAGAACACTTCTTTTTATGAGTCTGTATTTATAGACCTTAGCAAGGAACTTGATGCTAGTAACCTTATGAATATCATGATTCAGGGGAAAGTTCAGTTATCAATGCGTCTTTCTGTTGTTGGCCCACTTTACTGGGAAACTTCGAGCACCGTGAAGTCAATGATTTGATTACATTAGCTTGCAAAGGAATTTTGAAAAAGCAAGAAACAGATATGCTTCCAACAATAACTACCTGCAATAGTTACCTGCTGAAATGTACTGTGTACTTTCTTCGAAGAGACCTAGGAGAGGGTTGCCTGAAAGCTAGCCTTGTTAGCTATATTTCTGCTCCCAAAAATTCGCTCCCTAATAACGGGGGGTAATGTGTTGGCAGGGAGAGAGTTTTTGGGAGGGGACCTAATCTAACAAGGCTGGATTTCAGGCTATAGGGGCAGAGGCATTTGTCTTCTCACCCTCGCTTCTTACAGGTCTGGACCACCCTTCCCGTGCCAACCCCATCTTCCGAGAGTACTACAACCTGATCATCGGGAACATCGAGGGCAGACCTGGGGAGGAACAGGTCTCCCTGGAGACAGGGGATGTTATTGCAGAGTACCTCCCCCCAGCCCCCGCCAAGAACACCGGAGTCCACCGTTACCTCATCGCGGTGTTCCAGCAGCCCCACCGAATCGAGTTTGACGAACCCAGGATGGCAAAAACTGACAAGAAAAGGTACAAATTATATTGTATGGCACTTGGACAGATAATCTAAAACAGATGTAGGCATGTTGATGAAGTTTACATATCCAGGTAAAGATACCAAAGTAATGGTTACTGTCCAAGCAACTCAACAGTCACTGACGAAAGGTATTGGATGCTACCTGTTCACTGCTGAAAGGTCTGTCCAATTTCATGATCTATCCTGTAGTAACGGTTACTTTGGCATCATTATAGGTGTTCAGAATGTAACTGATGTATCAAATCAAAATATCATGTCTCAGTGATACATTTATCATTGTAATGTACGAGGGTGCTCCAACCTTTTTTATCTGTCAATAATCAATATCAGCCCTTCTAATCAAAATACATCAACAGCTACCGATATGACAAATTTAATTTTTCTGTCTCAAATGTTAAGAAGCTATCATGCATCACACTATAATATGATATTTAAAAAATATTGTCTTTTACAGAGCCAGATTCAAAACCAAGGACTTTGCCGCCAAGTACGGTTTCCCTGCTCCTGTTGCTGGCACTGTGTTCCTCTCTCAGTATAACGGTGGTAACAAAGCCAAGCCCTAGCTATACCATTTTGCATCAGCTTCACTGAAAAAAAATGTACATGTGTAGTTTCAAACCATACTTATTCTCTTGAAAGATGGCAGATTCCCTTTCTCTTTGGATTTTTAGTTGTGCATGTGTGTCAAATCCAACCACATATGGAATCATAATTGCAGCAGTGTGTTTGAAAACAGCTCCGTTTAATGTAAAAACTTATTTCCACTATTTGCAAGTACAATGTATGACAAATCAACATAATATATTGCCAAGAGCATATAGCCAGTTTTTCTCATCATTGCTGACCTGCAAGCTTAGAGCTAGTGTTCACAATCGTATGCCTTTCTTTATACCTTATAAATGGCAATATCAGCAATAGCACAATGTTATCATATGACTTTGCACTTTTTACCATTCCCATATAGTTTGCCAAATACAGTATCAGTGATACAACTGTTGTGCAATAAAGTTGAATTTTCTTCTTTATACAAATGTGGTAATTAAGACTTATAACCTGTGTCAGGTTTGACAGAAAGTTGAACAGTACAGTGGACAATGATATAACCTTGATTGAACCTGGGTTTGGCTATTTCAGCAGCACTGTCGTTCTTCCACCTCTGTCCAGTTTTGGGCTCATTTATGGAGCATATCATATTCATTAATTTAACTAGCAACAAATGTCTCTACTGTAAATGTCATAACACTTCAGTCAAAGGTAAACACATATGGCAAGAGAGTGGCAACACTGTACAATGCTTATGCAACGTACACTGATCATCAGTAGCCTTAAAATGTGCAAAACATAATAAAATATATTGTTCTGTTATAATATGTCCTACTGCATTTGTTTACAGTCAAGTAGAACATCCTGCATCAAAATTGAAATCATGTGTTTCTACCTGCCACATCTACCCCTCTTCCATTTTGTAAGCAATACAAAACAAGGCTGAGGCAATAAAAATCATTGCCAAGGCGACAACTGAATGATATATATTATTTCATGTGGTGGAGCTAACAATCTACATTACAATTATCAGAAAAACATATTTCCCTATGTTATAAAGACATGCACGTAGTGAAATTTACAGGATGGGTGGAGGAGGTGTGGGGCAATATACCAAATACACGTATAGGAGGAATCAGCTGTTCTTCGCCAGCATTATAGATTTTATGATGACATACTTACTTACTTTACTTTGGTCGAGTTCCAGCTAGAACCAAACTGAAAACCATCCTCCACTTCACTCTATCCTCCACCAGAGACTGGATTTTATGTCTGGTCTGAAGTTGTTACTCCTTTGACTTTTTTTTACCTTTTGTGGGTTCCAAAAGGATGGATAATTTCTTTTCTCTCTGTGACCTGTTTGAATATGGTCTTTGGCCAAAGACAGCTGTGCTCCCTGTCCATGGTGTGGGGAGAAGACGGATGACCACTAATTAATCATGCCAGGCAGGTGGATGGGTGGCACGTGGGCACCCCGTGTAAGTTACCTGCTTGATCCAAAAACCACATGGCCGAAGGTTTCCTCCAAACCAATTCCCTGGGGAACGCATTCGTGCAATTTTTGAAATTCTTTCAAAGCGATCGTAGTACTTACACAAATGCCTCCGCCCCAAAGGCGTCGCCAATAAATGCAATGTCACATGATAAGTACAGATAGATAATCTTGGTTTCTACTACGTTGTTATGTCCAATGTATCAGCTCCAAAGCTGTGAGGGAATTAACATTAACTTACATAAACTAACTAAAACTTAGCTATAGCTAAAATAACACATGCCTGGAATGCTTTTGGCACCTTGGTTATATATGATATGGCTCAAACAAAATCAAAATCCTCATAGCAAGAGAATTCAACAGTTTTACCTGGCAAATATGTATATCTAATGTGTATTAAGAACTGGGATGTGGACAGTAGTGACAAATAAACATATAACGTTAGATAAAGTATGAACAGCTCCTTATGACTTACGTAAAGCAAATAAAATAAAATTTGTACATCATATGCTGTTGACAGGTCAGTTCTTTAAGGTACTACTTAGTAACAGTCTATTCAGAGCCCCAAACGCCCCAGTGCACAAAGTAAGAGACCTTTTTATGATGGGCATTTATCAAATTCATGTACCACAAGGACTATAGTACAATAGTACAAGTATACAAGTTTAAGAACAAACATGTGGAATACACAACTATGACTTTTCAAGGTAACATTGTGTTCGGACTTTCTAACTCCCAAATCTATCTACAGGAGGCCACATCAACATCAAGCTATAAGCCAACACCATGTTTTGCAGCTTGAAACTTGTCACCAAAGCATTTCAGTCCTGTGTGCATAGTGCCACATGTCCATCTCCTGCTCATTTCTTCATGCTTGCATAGAGCTGGGGAACCCAGTCATCCCACTGAGCCTGGAAAAAGTTGCCGGCCACAGGGTTGCCCAGCTTGTACTTGGTAGCAAACACTTTGGTCTTGAACTTGCCCCTGCAATGAATGAGAGTAAAAACACTTAAAGCCCCTATGTAACAGGGAAAATAGACTTAATCTATTGTACTTAATCTGAAGATTGTCGGTTGTGCTCATAAATTTTAGCAATCGCGACCACCAGCGCGCGCTCGTTTTTAACACAGCGCGCCAAACATCTTGGGTTTCCTTGATCTCGGCAAATCTGGGTGATGACGTCACGTGACGTCACAGTAGGAACGCCACCCGCCGACGGGTCAGAGGAGAGGTCGCCCAAAATGGCGGAAGCCATGGAAGTTGGTGGAGAGCTCGAGTGGGGCGACGCGTACGGCGTTGGGGGCGTTCAACCTTACCAGTTTGAGCCCGAGGCGGCGGAGGGAGAAGACGGGGATCCAGAGGCACCAGATCGCGGGAATCAGGACCGCCGTTCAAACCGAAACTGGTGTGTATACGCTGAGCCGCCCGTTGCGTCCTTCAGTTATATAACGCAATGTTATATAGTTGCTTTGTACGCGATGAAGGTACTGTGTCACACTGTTTTATGTGCTACTTGGTCTGCAAGGAACTAAAAGTTATGTCACGGATTAATTGTTCCGAGTAATTCTGAGGGCTCAGCGTACGAGCAGTTCGGCGTTGTGACGTTTTATGGTTCGTGAAGGGGGAGGGGGGCTCGGTGGTATTCTGTGATAAATTTTTTTGTCGCGTCGACGCAGAAGTAAACGCTACGAAAGAAAAACAGGCTATTCGTCAGCTACGCACAGAAACTTTATTCATGAATGTTCATGAATGAACTATAAATCTTTATTGTTCAAGTAGTTTATTTGGCACAAATTGTGCAGAAAAAGTCAAGTTGCATACATTTTCTTCTCATCATCCAAACAGCACGTTGTAAACATTAGATTTAGAACAGATTTCTTTGCGATAAAC